TCTTTGATTGAGTGTTAGAGAGTTGAAGAATGACGCAGATCAATTTAATTGAAAGTTATATTTTCATTCTGAAACCAAATTATAATTATATAAGTCTATGTATCATCAGTATACAGACAAACATATCTATAGGATTTAAACTGCAGTTATATTTAATCTGGATTAGTTTAAACACAGACACATAAAGGAGCAACATGTAACTCTGACATCTAGTGTTTAAAATGGGTACTGCAGTCCAAATTCTAAACATCGTAGAGAGCTGTCTCCCCCCCCCTCCCTCCTCTCTAGAGTCGATGCTCACCAGGTCACCATGTGGTGGTCACTGAAGCTTCAGTGTTTAGCCAGCTCTGAATCTGTCTGTAAACCTTGGGAAAATTTGGAACATTTGTCAAATTTGCACAGTGTGCAGGAGTTTGCACGCAATATTTTCTCATTAAAAAAAATAAACTGCACAATATTGAGTGTTGAGGATGTATGGAAAAGGTATTGATATTGTTTGATTTTTACGAGTATCATATTTAATTTTAAATTTCTGGTGTGGTAGAAACTCTCTTAAGTCAGTGGTTCTCAACTGGTCTAGCCTCATGACACACAACCAACTCCCTTGTGATGAATTGCGACCCAAATTTCAGATATAGTTTGGACGAAGGCGGTACAAAACATGATAGAAAATACAGAATCAAACAAGCATGCTTTGAAAGCTCTCTGTTAACTTTTTTACACAATAGTTTTTTTCTTCCTGTTTGTTTTTAGTTGTTCCACTGCTCTAAGTGATGGTCTAGTGTGTAGATGAGTAGAGAGACTGTACAGCTGATTTCTGTCCCCCAGTGTTGACCTGCCTGTGGAAAGATAAGAAACACAGATTTCCTCTGTTCTTGCTGTTTGACTCAGTCAGTCACTGAATGGCAGCCAGGATAGTAACAGGATGTCCAGACTCAAACTCTATTCTGCTTCTAACTATCCAATATAAACATCCGTCATCCTCTGGCTGTAAACACTTGAACTTTGGATCCCTGTAGACAACTTGATTTACATTCTTGTTTAATGAGCCACAGCACAGTTTGTTGGATGTCGATGTGTTTTTGTGTATTCAGATTCAGACACTGGAGAGTTAAAGTAATCAGTGACTAACGTCCTCAGGGTAATCAGGGAGGATCTGAAAGGAGATAATATGTTGGACCTCTGCCCCAACTGTCTTCTAGACATCAACCTTGTCTCACATTGACACATTTAGAAGAGTTGAAGTACTTCTCTGTTTTAAACAATAACAGGAAGTTGTCAGGAAGCCAACAAAATGGAACAATCGTTTAATATCTAAAGTGAGCGGTCACCACAAAGGCTGAACTGAAATGAGACGCTGTGGTCGACAGAGCATTCTCTGTTTGTGTCACCAGCTCTCCCTGTCCTTTACCCTTTCATTTCCAAGCGCCGTCCCAGAAAAGGAACTAGCTAACATAGCTAACGTCACATAACTTGAGATGACACCAGTTTCTAACATTCGCTTCAGAGTCGGCCAGCTCATTTGAATCGGCACACAATGACTCTCAGGATATGTTGGGCCACAAAGGATGCAGCTGTTGGATCCTTCGTGGCCAGGTAAAGAAGGATGCATTTGATCGAGACTTCCGAAGTGGGACAGCCTTCGATGCTCCCCTGAGCCCTCTGAAGGTCGAGCCCTTATAAACGGGTCGTAGCGGTTGATCTGAGGTCTCTATATACTCTGTATTAAACCCGACGTTGTGTTTCTTTTTAGGTTTTTGGAAATCACGAGTTTGACAACGGAGTGGAAGGACTCATGAAACCGTTCATGGAGAATATCAAGTGTCCCGTTCTCAGCGCTAACATCAAACCTGACAAGACTCTGGCCTCGACGTTTGGAACCTCGTACTTGCCTTATAAGATCCTCAACGTGGGCGGGGAAAAGGTGGGCGTGGTGGGATACACGTCACAGGAAACTTCAGCTCTGTCTAAACCTGGTGAGTCGCTGTGAATGTGACTCTGTGCTGGGCCCCACTTGAAGTCTGATGAGCCATCCAAAAGTCCTAATTCACCTTTCCCTTGTTGTTGTTGTTGTTGTTGTTGTTGTTGTTGTTGTTGTTGTTGTTGTTGTTCAGGACCTCACCTGAAGTTCGAGGATGAGGTTCCCGCCCTTCAGCTGCAGGTGGACAAACTGCAGACTCTGGGAGTGAATAAGATCATCGCTCTGGGTCACTCAGGATTCACCATGGATCAGGAGATCGCCAAGAAGGTCAGAGGGGTGGACGTCGTCATCGGTGGACACACAACACCTTCCTCTACACAGGTAACTTCCATCTCTGTTATCTAAACGTTTAGTAAAGGTGCTAATAATCTGATTGTATTCAGATTAAATTCCGACATCTTCAACTACATTTCAACAAGAAGACTCAAGTCAATAACATTTAGGAGTCAGCTGGAGGCCCAAACCTCAGACTGAAAGTAAGGCGATACAACTCTGAAATCATGCTGTGTACGTTAAATA